CAAAAAATTAAAGCAGCTGAGATATGGAGGTTTAAAATGTAGCTACTCTGCATGCACATTAACAACTTTTCTTTAAGGATTTATATCGCCATCGTTTCTGTTTCATGCATAGTGTAATACACAGATTTTATAGCATGTTACTTTTTAAATATGTAAAACTCCAGTAGGAGTCATTATGCCTTGTACTATAAGGTGTCTGTAGATTAATGGTCACTGGGACATTTTTATATTACAACTTTCAATTTCCTGATGTTGCAGTTCAAGTGTGGAGTATACACACGTGTGTGTGTGTGTGTGTGTGTGTGTGAGAGAGAGAGAGAGAGAGAGAGAGAGAGAGAGAGAGAGTTTTCAGATAGAAATGGTTCCTTTATACCATGGGTAGGCAAACTAAAGCTCGGGGGCCGGATCTGGCCCATTTGCCTTCTAAATCTGGCCAGTGGACGGTCTGGGAATCAGCATGTTTTTACATGAGTAGAATGTGTCCTTTTATTTTAAAAACACATCTCTGGGTTATTTGTTGGGCCTGCCTGGTGTTTTTACATGAGTAGAATGTGTGCTTTTATTTAAAATGCATCTCTGGGTTTTTTGTGGGGCATAGGAATTCATTTATCCCCCCCCAAAAAAAATATAGTCTGGCCCCCCACAAGGTCTGAGGAACAGTGGACCGGCCCCCTGCTGAAAAAGTTTGCTGACCCCTGCATACAGTATGTTCATGCGAACCATTTTAATTTGGCTTCATTGTCTGCTTTCCATAGTACTGTGAATACGTTATGAAGCTCTACAGGAGTGAGACTGGCTGTGTGGCTGGCACAAGGCAAAACTTGCTGCCAATCCACTGGTTCCACTCAGAGACCTGCCCCTGCTGCCACCTCATCCCAGCCTTGTGTAGGAAAGCAGCAGCAACTCTGGCATTGGGATGGGAGCTCTGTGGCTCCACCCCACCCCACGTTCTGCCACTGGAGAAACTGTGTCTGTCAAATACCTTCCTATGAAAAATGGGGTGAAATCTACCCTGTGCGTGCTTTTCATTGCAGAAACAATACAGAAGCAGACAAGCAATGCAAACCTCCTAATTGATTGTGAGCTGCACAGTAGTATACAGTGTCCCCAAATTTCAGCCACTTAACCATTGCTAAGACGCATTGTAAATCACCATGGTGTAGAAAACTACTTTAGAAATATGTATCTTGTCAGGTTTTCTTTTTGTTTTTTGCTTTTCCTGGTAGATTTGGTGTGCGCATAATGCTTATCCATGGTTTAGCAGTCTGTACACAAGCAAGAAAGAGCCCAAATGAAATGTTGGGTTTCAGCATCCCCTCAATTCCTGCTGAGTTGTTTCACTTTCAAACAAGTTATGGCTACTGACCCATCTGAAGACCACTTGTATACTCTAATGATGATGGAGCCTGTGGCCTGTGCAATGCTGCTGCATGATGGGAGTTGTAGTCCAATAACATCTGGAAGACAACAATCCCCTTGTTGTTTGTCTGCCCTAGCAGGCAGTGGCTTTTCAGGGGTTCAGACGGTGCTTTTGTCAGTTCTACCTGGAGGTGTCAGGAAGCAAATCTGGGCTGTTTTGCATGCAAAACATATACCAGTGAGCATTGGCTCTCCCCCAGTTCTTCTTCAATCCCTCACAGAAGAACATGATGGTCACTCCAGATAATTTCCTCAAATTGTAAAGCCTAAGGTAATGAACTTGAACAGTTATCTGTCGTGTAAGCTGAATTGCTTTTTAAACTGAATTGCAGTTTAAATGTTACTTATATTGTGTCAATGCGTGGGAAAGTATATATAATAACTGGAACTTGTTTAGAAAGACTGGTAAAAGTTGTTTGTTGGCTGTAATTTGTGCATAACTTGACCAGAAAGAAACTTTATCATTTTGTCAAAACAGTGTGATCTCCCCCACCCCCAATTTACTGTACCTACACTACTACAGTCTCCTTTGAACATGTATATAGCTGTTCAAAGTATATGCTCATTATACTTTTATTAGTCATACTTTACCACATTTGTTAAAATGCAGTTGTAGCGTTTATTAGCTGGGGTTTCCAGGAGAAATAACAAGCATGGTTGGTAACTGAAATTATTTTAGTAAACATTTTGGTGGGGTTTCCTTCCCCATGGTTCTGTATTTAAAACTCGGTGAAGAGAGGAGGTGGCATAAAAGCAAGCAAATATCAGGGTAATACCTATTTAATTTTGATTTGGCTGTATGCACACATACACTTTTTGTTTGTTTGTGTTTAGATATGTTTGTTCCTCTAAGTAGTGCAATGTGTATGTCAGATCAATGAAAGGTTTGTGGCAGAGAGAGATGTTATGTTTTGTACCTTTTGTTGAGCAAATTTCCCTTGTGTGGGCCTTTAACCATCACTAGAACCATTCCTGAAACTCAATACTTTTGTTTCCTATAACCAAAGAAATTATCTACCTATGGAATATATTAACTGTTGCACCCTGTATTTTTCATGATTGCTAAAATGTTTTGTTGGAAGGACTTCTAAATACAATATGTAACTTACACTGCCCATTAGGTCACCATAGGGGGGCTAACTATGGCTCTGTGATTTGAGCTAGGTTGACATCTGTGAAACCACATTTATTAATGTACATATGAAAGAGTAAGTGCATTTTCTTTAATAAACCCTCAGCAAATTGAATGAGATTTTTTTATTTTGTATGTATGCTTTTTAAAAAAGACCAACCAACCAACAACTGCTATTTATTATTACTTGCATAGCTCATGTGATCTGTGAAAGATGAAAACTCTTGCTATTTAATATTTTTTGTAAGTTTCAGAGAAGAGTAGAAATTTAGAGTGATATGCATGAATGCAATGCTTTGGACAAGATAAAGATGGAATACTAAAACAGAGCTTAGCATTAGGTGCCTGAGCCAGCACAAGTCTCGGGCTCATGTTGTCTCCCATCCCAGAATTCTGAATCTGTAAGTGAAAATGCCTCTTGAACCCAAGCTCTAATTTGAAAATACTGGGACTGTCACAGTTGTAGCCTTTATCTTAGAAGGAGTCAAATCCATATTTTTTACTATGGCAGTGTTCACTATACTTGCTGCCTCAGTTACATTTTAGAAACATACTTTAGAAATTCTAAAAATGAACAAGTAATTCTAAAAATGAGCAAGTATTTCTGACACATGTGCTTTAAGACAGTCTCTTTAAAGCAGGGGTTAGGAACCTCAGGCCTATGGGCCAAATGCACCCCCTAGTCTCTTTGTACAGTCCTCTAAGCTCTTCTTAGTCCAGTCCCACATTTTACTGGTTTTTCTGCAAGAATATCATGGGGAACTTTGTCCAAAGCCTTACTGAAATCAAGATACACTATGTCCACAGCATACCCCTGATCCACCAATCTTGTAACTCTATCCAAAAAAGGAAAAGGAAAGGGGAAAAAATGAGCTTCATCATGTTTTTGAGAAACCCATGCTGGGTATTGGTAATTATAGTATCCATTTCTAAGTGCTCACAGACCAACCATGTAATTATCTGTTCTAAGACCTTTCTTTGTATTGACCTCGAGCTGATCCGTCTGTAGTTACCTGGGTCTTCAGTTCCCCCCTTTTTTGAAGATTTGGACAACGTTTGCCTGCCTCCAGTCTGCAGGGTCACCTCTTCTCCAAGAATTCCCAGAGATTATAGACAGAGACTGAGATTACATCCGCAAGCTCCTTTTGTACCCTTGGCTGCAGTTCATCAGGCCCCGGAGATCTGAATTCATGTAAAATAGCTAGGTGTCCCCTTATCCCCTTACCCCACTTCGCTGTTCCAGGACAGAGAAATTTTAGAAATTTCTCATATTGTCTGATAAGTCAAAGTGTGGACAGGTGAGGCTCAAGTTGCTGTACCTTCTCTTCCATAAAGGCAACCAGCTTGAGCTTGCTGCAAGTGTAGTTTTGCACATTCTCAGGGAGGAAGACAAACATGGCACAGGTGTTGCAAGTCACTGCAGCATCTCCCTCGCTGTTCATGTCACATCTGTGGCTCTGTCCTATTATGCCTCTGGCCTCAGTGTGTGATGTGGTACCTGGAAGGTTTGTTCATGAGGAACCATGACCTCTAGCTGAGAAAGGGTTCCCCCTCTCTGTTCTAAAGGAAGGACCTTGTACAACAATCAATGGAAGATGGTAATGATGATTTGTTTTAAGATGTCAAATTTAAATACAACCCTGCATAAGTTTATTCTTGCTTACAATAGCTTCAATGCTGGTAGCAGTATAACTGCTGTAAATTTTCTTTAGTTGAATGAAGAATTTTCTGACATGTCGTGCTGTCAGTATAGTTTGTGATAGTTCTGATGTTATCAGTAGCAGAACATTCTGGAGGTCCATCATAAAATACAAATTTTATGGAAACCCAGGCAGATGGGTAGGGTATAAATAATAATTATTATTCTTAGTATTTGTAGTATTATTACCTGCTTATTTACACAATTATCATAGGCAGAAATGAACACCATGTGCATTCTAGACATCTGTGAGGTTGCCAGTTGTATTTGACATTTGAAAATCTTTGGTTCCTCAAAAGAGAAACCAGTCAAGGACACCTGGTGGCTCAAAAAATGAGCCATTAGTGACCTATGAAGTGTCCTTTATGTACTGTTTCCTGGTTCCTCCCTCCACATAGCTCATCTATACCTAATATTTGTATTTTGTCATTTTCTTTTTACTACCTCCACCCCAGTGCTAGCAAAAACTGTTTCCAAGTTTACTGAAAATCTCCATGTTCAAAGCAGTATAAGGCAGGCATTGTGTTGATTTATCAGGAGACTTTTATGTGCAGCGTTTATGTTTTATTTTTATTTATTCCATTTCTGAGTTGCATTTCCCACTTACCAGGAGCTTGCTTTTATTTGGTTCTGTCTCAAAAGTGTTGTGTATTTTGACTTTAGCTTAAAAATATATACTGGTCTGGAATAAGCCTTCGCCAACATTTTTTGTCCTGGGCCTATTTAATTTTTTTTTTATGTTGGAAATAGTGTTCATGATCAGAAGCAGATACACTGTTTAAGTACTGGAACAAAAGGTGGAAGTTTTCAAAGAACAGAATGCTGCTGCCTGTATCCTGTTCACGGAGGAGCTGACCTGTATTTGAATATCAAGGTTCTTAGCAATGTACCTTCTTGGGGGCTGGGGTGTGTGTGTGACTATGATGTAATGCAGAACAGTGAATTTTTCAAGCCGCACAGTGATGCACTCCTGAGAATGGAACCAAGCCATTAGTACATCACGGAGAATTACTGATTCCAAAGAGACACCCTTGAGAGAGGAAGTACTGTAATGAGAAAGCAGCAATGTTGTTCTAATATTTGTTGTTTCCTTTGAAATGGCTAAAATACCTGAAATGATTTATACCTAATTGAGCTTTGCATTCCATCTGATAGGGTAAATGTTCTCAGGCCATTTATCATCGGTGGCTTTTCAAGATCTCCTAGGAGTACATGGTGTATATTTACCTTAACTTGGCTAGGTCAAGGGAAATAGCTTTTTTTAAAAGAAAACAAAACACCAAAGCAAAACAAGAATAATACATGATACCGTATGAGATTGTAGGAAAACTAGAAATGCAATGCTGGCATGATTTACATACTTTCATCCTGCCACCCTTGTTGCTAATACAAATATGTCACATAACTAGTTAAAATGTGTGGATTAATACTACTACTACAACTAATAATAATAATAATAATAACAACAACATACAATATTAATTTGTACGTTTTAATTGCTCCTGAGAATGGGCATGGCTTGGTGGTGGGGTGAGAAAATGTATTTCGATCCACTTCTGCTGTTAGTTGTGTCTGGGATTGAAATAAATGTGGATCTCATCTTTAATGCCCATGGGGAACTTGCACTTACGTTCTCAAACGACAGCCCTATACTGCATGTAAGAACTGAAACCGAGGAAACTTTCTAAATCAGTTTGTGATGTGGCGTGGTACAGTGTGGTGGTCTGCTGTTCAAAAAGCATGTATCGGGGTCAAGGCTAGCCTAGGACATTTTGCCACTTGTCCTGTACCCTGCTATATTTATATCCTGCCTTTCCTCCAGGGAGATCAAGGTGGCACACATCATTCTTTCCCTGCTATGTTTTATCCTCACAACAACTCTTTAAGAAAGGTTAGGTGGAGAGTGAGTGGCCCAAGACTACCTAGCAGGCTTCATGGCACAATTGGGATCTGAATCTAGGTCTCTCCAGACCTAATTCCACATCATCATTGGCATCATAAGTTTCTTTAGTGTTTGGAGCGCAGGTAGGGATCCTGTTCCCCTCTAGATGTTGTTGGACTGCAACTCCCATGATCCTTGAGCACTTGTTACACTGGCTGTGGCTGATGGGAGTTGGCTTTCTTAGCTTCTTGTCAATCAGATTAAGGTATGATCTGCTGCCTGAAAAGAGTCAGTGATGTGTCATATACCCATTCTGCACAGGGCAGCATGTCCTCCTCTTTGGAAAAGGAGAGAATAATTCTGAATTAAAACAGCAAGGGTAAGAGCATGGACTACACGAGAATCATAATCAAAATACACACACTATCATTTTTGCCACTTAGCAGCATCCAAACATTGTCTCTAGCTTTTGAGCCTTTTTAGCACTTGTCACAGACTATTCTGCTTTCTCTTTTTTAGGGGGGGGATGTTGTGTTGTGTTTGTTTGTTTGTTTGTTTCTGCCTTGGTTTTGTATGTCAGCTGCCCTGTGGCTGAGAGTGTGAACAACCTTCTTAAAGTGTACAATATTGTTCTGTTCCAGCTAGTTTGATGTAATAATGTATTTTGCATCTCCTCTAGGGGCTGAAAATGTCACTTAGTTCTGCTCCCAGCCTTCTGTAGCTTTAAGTGTAGATGTCCTTGGGGTTGAAGACTCAGCCTGGGTTTCCTTGGGCTGCCCCTAGTCAGATTTCTTTTAGTCATCTTTCCATATTGCCTTTAGTATGAAAGATTATTTTGGTTGAACTGTGCTTGAAATGTCTTCCAGTTTTTACGTACCATCAGTCACAGGGCAATCTGTATTAGAAAACAAATGTGCGATATTTTGTAGAAACAGCAAGCACCAACTTAAAAATAAATGTATATTTTAAAGTAATCTGCTAAGTTAAAAGCCTAAACATTTTCAAGCACATGCATGTATGACTGAACTGTTAATTGTAACCTAAATTTTAATGGAATGTGACTTTGATTAATAGATACTCTCCTTTTTCCATGCTTGCAATTTTAATTAGTCTTTTTTAAGTTAAACTTATTAATGAAACAAAAAGATTGAATCCCTTTAAAATTGAGCTCACTGGCTGAGCTCTTGTAATGTGGTTCCGCTTTTATCATGATCCTATATGACACATTTTTAAATGAAATAATTATAATGTAGGCTTTATTAATATGGGGTGTTTTTTTTTTTTTGTAGAATCCTGGGCAACTTTGGAAACGTATAGGAGAATGAGCGTTTTGCTGATTGAAGCTTTTTATGGAGGTTCACACAGGCAGCTAGTGGATCTCCTACAAGAAGAAATAGAAGACTGTGTCCTATTTACTCTCCCTGCAAAGAAATGGCATTGGAGAGCAAGGACTGCAGCACTCTACTTCATGCAAGCTGTCCCAGCCAGCATGGACTACAGGTAAGGTGAGCTACGGATACCTTCGTAACTCCAGATCTTGAATTTCCGTATTTACTCATATACAGTTCAGCAACCTTTCTGTGGAACTGAGATCACCTAAGGTAGGTGCCTTAGATACATGAGAACGTTTCCACTTTAAATCCCAGGCATTTCCAGTTGCTCAGAGCCAACTGTGTTCTACAGACGGTGATGTGAGTGAACAGATGCCCTTGTGAGTGGTCATGCACCATGATAAAACCGGTGCCACCATGCCGTAAAGACATAGCTCTGCATACAATTATGTACACATGGGGTGAGATCCAAAAAGCTACTTTTAAGGATGCCCGGTGGTGTTGGATTTAAAAGCAAAACAAAACTCTGCGCAGTCAAGTCTCATGCTCATATCACAGTGTACTCTTGAAAAGGTAGGTGAGTTGCTTTCCAGAAACACACACCAAAAATTCTGCATGTCCAAGGCAGCTAACTGCTTGGTTCTTTGGACACTGGCTGTACGTGTATTCTGCCTAGCGGCAGACATGGATCAAAGATCACCCCGGACTGCGTAACCGCTTGTCCAGAGAAAGTGCAACCCTGTCCAGATTAGGCAATGGACCTATCTCCTGGGCACAGGGACCACTCGCCTACCCCTTTTCTAATAAGAAGTTTTATTCTGACAGAATGCTGTGAGGTGGGCTAGGCTTCAAATAAATGACTTCCATAAAGTCCAACAATTAGCAAGGTCTTCTCAGTTCAAAACTAGCATTATGTCTGCAACACAACACTGGCTTTGGGCAGTCTTGTAGGTAGCACAGGAAGCCTTTTAGCAAACTGGAAAATTGTTTCTTGTTCATTGGGAACACAGTCACTGAGCAAGCTAATAAATAATCACGGTTTTCAATCCTGAATTTATTTGGCTTTTCTAAGCCCCTAATAAGAGGCAAAAAATTTAAATATGTAAGGACGGACTCTTTCTCAATTGTCTTTCCTCACACTTGGATTTGTTTATTCTCCAGATAATTCCCACAACTAAGGGCTAAGAACGGTCTCAATAGATTGACAGCATTTGGTGGGATTGTTTTTTTCAGACCCAAACTTCCCCAGTGGACTTAAGCAACCAGCTCCATGAGCTGCGTCGTGTGAATCTAAGTTTAATTTTATGCCACGTTGAAGTATTTGCTGTGCATTTTGACTATGTGGAGTAAGTCCATTTTTTAGCATTTAAAATAAAGCCCCTTAAATATATTTTATTTTCTCTCTGGCTTTTCCTTGGCTGTTCTCTGCTTCTTCTTATTGCATCTAAGCTGCCAGTCTGGAACAACTTTTCAGAGGGGGAAAAATTGTTCTGCCTGAGGTGGTTGAATGTGGGTTTTGCTTTGCTCGACTTCGAAACAATCCTATTTTGTAGGAGTATGTATGACAAACTATTATGTAAATTTTTTTCTACATCACAACCACATCCTCCAACGCATTGCAATGTTATCTCAGCTCCTTCAAGGTCAGCAGCCCAAGCTGTCCAGCGCTCGCTGTATTAAGCTAATCAGACATAACTCATAGCCATACACTTCATTAGTTTAACGTACAGTTACATTGACCTGAGATAACTGAATTCTAATTTGTCAAATAACCTACATTTTAACAGAAAGTACTAGAAGCTTAAAAACTGATTCAAAGTTAGCAAATCTGTCATGTACTTATGTGCAATGTAACCTTCATAAACACCAACTAAATCTACGCTTAACCAATACAGCATAATGAGGAGGTGATGGCCCTGCTGTTGCTATTGGTATCTGATCACAGAGAAAATAATTCAGAGAGTTTTATATAGGTGCAGGTTCAATAGGAATGTACGGCACTGGTAATCCAGCCAAAATTAAGCAGTTGAAAGTCCCATTGATTTCAGTAGGAGAATGAAGCATATGCTGTTAATATTAATATCCTAGCGCTACTACTAATGTCGAGGGTGTCAAGGAGGGCATTGGTAGCAATTGATTAAAAACTAAATTGCACTCTGCACTCAGTTTTGGGGTTGTTTCTGACAGCAGCCTTAACTCGTGTCATAATGCCATGTGTTTTTCTCTGCTGCTACCAATGGCAGATTTCCCTTCTCTCACGCCTATGCTATGTGCATGGGGTGGGACAGGGATGGTTGTGACATTGGGGCAGGGCCAGCAGCACAGTTCCACATCCATTTCTATGCATGGAGTTCTGTTCATGCATATGACACATGCATGGGACACCTCTATGTTTCTTCTGTACTCTTCCATGCATTAAAAAGTCAATGTAAGTTGTTCCCATCTATTGCAAGAGCTTTTTATCCTTGCAGAGTCCAAAGAGTTCCGCCATAGAGTCTTCCTGATTTTTCCTTCCATGCAATAGAAATGAAGCAATCAGAAAAGTAATTTTACCAGTCTTTCCCCCCTTCTGCTTCATCATGGCATCTGTCTGTAGACAAAGGAAATAAGAGGAGGAAGGAAGCAATGAAAGTAGAAGCTGGGGTTTTTTGCCATTAGTGACACTGGGCAATTAAGACTAGCTGAAATTAATTGGTTAATAATTTGACAGCGGAAGAATGGGGGATTTTCAGATGTTGGTAGAGAAATTGCGGTGTACAAAGTCCTTATTCCAAAGGGAACTCCTACATTTTAGTTGGGTCTCATGAATGAACTAGAATGGATTATGAACATCCATAGCTAATGCCAAGGCTTTTTGCAAACAGAAGGAGTGTTATGGGTTAGGGTAATGATGAAAAATAGATACTGCAGTTTCTTTTAATATACAGCCATGTGTCCTGATTATCTGAAAATAAGCTGAACCTATGAATAATATAGAAATAAAATAAATACAAGACACTTTTAAGAGGATAAACTATACTAATTAAAAATCATAAATGTAGAAATACTGAATCATAACGCGCAATGTCATTATACTATAGTGCTAGCAATGTAAATACCAATGTATATAAAACAAGGCGCACATAATGCATTTGAATAAAACAAAACAATTCTTCAGATTCTCTAAAAACCTAAAATGGAGGAAGCAAATATGCTGGAAAAGAAAACCACAAAGCTTTTATTTTCTTATTAGGGCAGGTTTTTGAAAAATCAGCAAAACCGTTATGCATTAGTGATGACTATAAATCTACAAGTGCTCTGAGTAGCATGATCAGAATACTATTACTGCTTTTGTTAATCAGCAAGTGATATATACATTTTTCACATGGTTGTTGGTGTCATTATGTTCAGAGTCCTGCTCTGCCATGTAACAGAAGGATCTCATCAGTTTGCAGTCGTCTCCGTGTGTTTATATAATTTGATGCTAAGATGAATCAGTGGGCACTGGCTCTAGAACTTAATAAGGCAATATTATTAACTAATATTTCTCCATCCAGAATGAATTATGCTGAGAAAGGAAACCTGGAGAAGTCACCCTTGGCTGTTATGACAAAACTTAAAAGATAGGCCGAGCATTTTGAGTGAATACGGAAAACCATTTACCAAGTGGTAATTTATTGTGGTCTACATGTAACCTAGCTGTGCAGCCCTTGCTCCACTTACAGCCTTCCTATGTCAAGTGAGATTGTCCATGTCTAAAATATTAGGAAGTAGAGGGACCCATGGGCAGACTGTTTACATTGACAGTCCCATTTTGATCAGTCTCTTCATCTGTTTGGCTTCCTTCAATTGATTTACACTGAATGCCAGTCAGGGCTGGTCCTCTGCCCCCACTTAATTTTGACATGCTTAATTGTGAAATGTTTAAAGTTGTGCCATATATATATATATATATATATATATATATATATATAACATACATACAAAACAAGCAGAATAACAAAACTTTTCAAGGGAAATGTGTAGGGGGTTACATGGATATTTTTTTAAAACAACTTGTCACTTTTTAACTGAAAAGCTACCATCTGCCAACATTTTAATCACAAGCAAAGCTTATTAATGCAAAGTGAATGTTTATGATCATATTGATGTCTTCCTGAATAATTTTCAGGTAGGCTCTTTGGTTATATTATTAATTGTTTTACTTTTTTTCTGTCAAGTTTCTTCCTTTCTCATTATCTGAGAACTGCTTTGAATTATTGAACCTGCTTCTTGAACCTATAGCCGTGACACCTGGAGAGTGGCTTCTGCTCCAGCCTGATTGCAGTTCTAGAATCATTCATTTTTTCCTCCCATTTAATTATCATGCAAGAGGGAGAGTTTGGGGAAAGCCCAGTAGGTCCTCAGTGTATTGCTGACTGAAGGTCTTTCTACATGAAAGAGCCAAGCACATGGGCCGCATACCTGCAGAAGGAGGCAACTAGTAATGGAGGGGGGACAACAAGTGAATAGGGCCTGTGCATGAGGCAAATGAGCCAAGTTTAACCCCAATACGTTGCCCATCTCATGAAATAAAATTGGTGCTGGGTTTTCAAGAGATGGTAGGGCATCTGTTGGTATCCCCACTCTCTTACTCCCAGACAGTGCCCCTCTCTAAGCTAGTGGAGATTATATTGGTATGGGAGGCCTCCATAGTACATGCGGACATCTATGCCGAGCCCCTTGTATTTGTGTTGCTTAGGAATATGTGAACTGCCATTCAAGGAACACTGGGTTGTATTCAGCTATATCATACTCGACCCATCCTCATTTAAATCAACTTATTTCAGTGGGTCTACTCACTGTATGACTTGGTTAGATATAATCCTTTAGAGGTAAATCTGATACATGTATACCAAGAGGTAACTTCCATTGAATTCAGTGAAACTTACTCCCAGGTAAGTGGGAATAGGATTGCAACCTTAGTGTAGTTTTTGTCATGGATAGATACTAGAATCATAGAACTGTAGAGTTGGAAGGGACCATGATTGTAACCTGATTAGCACCCGATAAAGTTTATATTGGTGTAGGAGAATATCAGGAAGCAAAAGATCATTCACTTTTGGCAATCAGCTTTCTCTTTCTTTAATTTTTAGATACTATGTTAGTCAGAGTTCAAAAAAGAATATTAAAATTCTCTTCCCAAAGGGC